CTTGCATTCAACATGGATGATGTTCTCAACTTCTTAAATAAAGTTTGGAAAGCAATGAAGTCATATTATGTAGAAGTGTCTGTTATTGATCAAGCTTTTACTGAATTATTGAAACTTGTTGGGTTGGGTGACTTCATTTAACCACTTGTTAATGAGGTAAGTGTGTTAAAAAGTTTTAAAAAATTGGTGATCATTCTGATAAATACATTTTTATTTTATTATAGACGTAATTTCTGCTCTTGGAAACGAGGTATAAATTGTTAATGGTTTTTTTTTTTTTTTTTAATATTCGATTTAAATGCAGCATTTATAATTAATTTTTTATTTATTTAAAATCAGCAATGTAAATCAATTACAATATCACAAGGTGGTGTAAGTCACACGAAATGCCTGAAAGCACACTTCACTTAGAGCACTTGATGCAAGCTACTAAACTTTTGCAACTCAAAAAGGTGCGCACTCACTGATTGTACTAATTATTATTTCACTTTTTTTATGAGTTTTATTTCTTTATATATATTTTTTTAAAATTATTCATACTATTCAACTAAATCTGATAGACAGATACATTGGGAGACATTGAAATAATTTATGACGTTTGTTGGATGTTGACACCATCTCAAATTCAAAAACTTATGAAGCATTATTATGTGGCTGATTATGAAGTAATTTAAAAAGTTTTTTTTTTAATAAATAGTATGTTATTGAATACTACTAATGTTTCACTATCATTATATAGAAACCAATTAGTCGTGAGATTTTGAAAGCTGTTGCAAATCGAGTAACTGCGAATGATAAGAAAGATATTTTATTTCTTGATACGACAATTCGGTACCTCACCTTAGACGGCTTGGGGCTCTATCAACATAATTTATTAATTAAAGAGTACAGTATATATGTTGTAATTTAAATAAATTAAATATTTTGTCTTTCAATTATTTCATCAAATATTATTTAAGTACAGCTTGATTTCTAATAAAGATAGTTCATATTATAACTGAAAAATTTTTTAATAAAAGATCATTTTTGGTTAGCAACTTAACATTAAACATTTGCTTTTGTAAATCGTAAATAGACCCAATAGATTTATCAACATAATTTATTATTTGAAAATATAGGAACTTTCTTTTTTTAACTTGCACAAATTGCTAAACATTCAAATGTCCTTCAAGTTCTTCGACCAAAATCGATCAAAATGAATTAAGTAAATCTATTACACAGATAAGTCTAGATTATTTTGTTATTGAAATCTTATATAGGCTTAGAAGTCGCATATAAATTTATAAAAAAAACAAAATATCTTGATTTTTTTATTCATATGTTTTCAAATAATATTAATATAATTTCAAATATACTAATAAGGCTATAGTTTTATTTGTATCTTTTTTTCAAATTTACATTTAGTACAGAGGTTATAATATACATGTTTCAGCAAAACCTTCAAATTTTGGAAATAAAAAAAAAAATTAGTTTTCTGTAATAATCTTGGCTTTCAGTGATTCAAATTGGGTGACTTTTTTATTGCAGTTTGCAAAATGAAGTTTCTTTGATCAAATTTTATTGATTTGAGTGGATTTTCATCAATGAGAAAGAAATACTGTATATAGTAACTCTTTCTCAGCAATATCTTTATAATAACTACGCATTTTTGTTTAACCTTTGTCCACAATAGATGTGCGACGAAACTATTTTGTTGTTGACGAAATGACGAAACTCGTATGTTTCGTCACTGACGAAATGACGAAATTATATGGGCTGCCGGGGCCGCCGTCAGTTGAAATAAGGCAGATTGACATTTTAAAAAAAATCAATGCCTTAACTTTCACAGTTCATATCTTGATGAACTTTGAGGCTATCTTGATGATTTATTATTCAAAAAGAAAGCTTAGATCGCAAGCTTTTTTTTGACTATTAAATAATTAAGATAGCTTCAAAATCCGCTGTGAAAGTTAAGGCATTGGTTTTTTAAAAAATGTCAAACTGCCTTATTTCTAACGACGACGGCAGCCCATATAGTCAGGTCACGTGAGTTTCGTCACCAACTATATTATCCGACATGCATTCGTATGTCATTGGCATATAATTAATTTTCAGCTTTATGTTGCATAAACTCGAATCTATCAATCTTTCTTTTATTAGTTTCAACCATCAATCTCTGAATACAATTAATATCGAATAAATGTGTCAGAAAAAATGGAAAAGCTAAAAATTGTTAATGGAGTACTCCAACCACCCCAGTTTAAAACTGGAGTGTTTTATATGTTTTATTATAGCTTGGAGTAATCCATTTAACAACTCTAGGTAAAGCAACAAAACAATTAACTTCATTTGGTTACATTATAATAAAAGAGCATAATGTTTGTTATAAGTCTTGCTATTTGTCAATTTGTTTATAAACAATTGGCTATAACTAAGCGATCTTTATACTATGCAAGCTTAAACATACCTAAATGAGTGATATGGTAAATATTAATGCTACAAACTACAAACTGCTGGTCAATAACATTGATTCTCATAAGTAAACTAGAATTTACGTACAGTGATAAATTTTTGTGAATTTTATCGATGACTTCCAGGCAATTTGATATCGAAGAATTCGCAGTACTTAAGTTTATGTATGATATTCTGAGTTTTTTTTGGATATATTTTGCTCAGAAATCACGGGGCCAGGATCGTTTTTGCCACCACTAATTCATCTTCGAAAATGTGTTGGGAATCAAATTATAATTAACGTAAAGTATTATTAACAGTTAATCGATCAATCGAGCTTGTCATTTTTCTAGCACCATTCTCTGTGTGATTAGCTAGTCATCACAATGATGCTCAGGCATAATGATATTTGCATAAAATTTTTTATGACAATTTGAATAAGCAAATAATAATGTAATTGGAGTTTTCTCAAACATTGTCTTTGATGTGATTAACTAGCGTAACTAGTGATCGTAATGACCCCCATTTAGTATAATCTGATACTTGAGTGATTCTTACTATTCTTATACTGAATTTACAAATGTCATCGTCAAAAATTAATAAACCAAAAAATAAAGGAAAAAAAAGGCATTCAAGTAGCGGATACTGATGACCTTCAAAAATAAGCTAGTGAAGCAATGACTTCGACTGTTACTATTGATCTATTTACCGATTTTTTACTGTTATTTTATGAATCCATTTGCTTTAAATAAAGCCAGGAGTTGGCGGGCTTCTGCATGTTTTCTATTTTACATGAAACTTTTAGAATAATTAGTAAAATGATTATTCTTTGATGTCGAGAATGAGGATTCATGATTAAATTATTTGAGCGATCTCTTTGAATACTCGATTAATGGCAAATATGGCAAAATTTTCCAAGCTAGGGATAAAAAAAAGATGGTGTTTTGTAAAATTGTAATGACAAACTTAGGGTGTTCTCAAGCAGCATGCTCGATGTGATTTTCTATTGATTAAAATAGTGCTCAACCATTGTGGCGTTATTAATTAGAACATTTTTAAGAACCAATAGTATGGACGATGATATGATTGAAATATGCTCATGTATCTTCCACAATGGATTAATTTATGATCGTGTTGGTACTCAAGTTTTTATCATTACTACCATTTAGAAATTATTATTTTTACAAATAGAATAAAATAAAATAAAATAATTAATGAAACAGTGGATGTTACTTCCTATTCAGAATTTACTATGAACCAACAGAACACAAAAACGTGCCTTTTTTATTTGCGGCGAATATTTTTAGAATAACTAATAAAGTAATAATAATTCGCCGATGTTGATAATAATTTTGAAGCTCCTAGCTATTGCTTTCGATAAGGATATCCTCTTGCTAAAAGAATTTAGATATATTAGCGTTATGTTAAAATTTTGCATTATTTTCTAACATAAGAACATATCAATCGTTTCATACTTGATTATTATTGTGCATATCAACTGAGCTATTTTTATGTAATGGATCCTGTGCGATTTTAAAACAAACAATGAAAAGATTCATTTACTATTAGAATATAATAATGTAACCAGATAAACAATCTAACCTCGTCATTAGCCTGTAACATTATTATTAATTAATTTCTGAAATTTTTACATTCAATATTTTTGATAACTAATAATAATATAGATAAACTTATTGAACTTTTATTGTTGTGCTCAGTTGTAATATTAGTAGTAACATTTTTTTTTGCTTTTTTTGATACTTTATAATTTCGGTTGATTCTGCGCTTTCGAACTAAGGTCGCTCTCAAGCGCCTCAATCAATGAGTCAAAAAGTGTCTGGGAATAAATTTTACTTAGCGGAAAATAT